CCTTTGCTTGGCACATCAAAAGAGGCATGACCCGAAGGCCAGTGACTCTGTTTATATGAAATGACCTGATGACTCTAGAGGAGCTGAAATGGGTGAGTCCCCATCACCTGGAACCAAAGGCCGTCGTAAGATGTGAATGGGGAAGGGGCTCTTGTCCTTAATTCTAGTTGAGACCCACATCCTCCTCTTGTGAGTGTTATTTTGGGCCTTTCTTAATCCCTTACCCCACCCCTCCAATCCTCCTCCACCCACGTGTGGGTGACTGAAAGTCAACTTAGCTGGTTTGCTGGGGATTTTAGGGAAACTTTAAAGAAGAGAGACATCCAAAAGATTAACTTTTCCCCTCCCCATTTCCTTCCTCCTGTCAGTGCAAAGATGATCCCTGGAGCTTCAGTGGCCTTCTTGAAACTCTAAGACAAACTAGAGAAAAGGAGGCCGGTGCTACAGATGACGGAGCTGGACCATGGGTAAACCAACTGCCTTGCTGAGTCTCCCTGGACAAATTCCTTCCTGCCTGAGACGGAGGAGCAGAACCCTTTAGCTGAGTGAGAGCACGCATGGAAAGCCACTGATGTTTAATAAACATTCCTTTATGTCTCACTGAAGCAACAGCAGCTCATGTGGCCCCCGCACACTCTGCAAATCACTCGTGCAATGAGAAGATGTATCTTCCGCCATCATGAACAAAATCCCTCTGTTTTAAACATGACACATTTTCCAAGGACAAAGTGGCAGGAAGGTCCCGCCTCTCCTGTCCCAGAAGTCTTTGTTTGCACATAATCAATCTGGAAAGCGAAAGATAAGCAGGCAAGCCAGGCTAGGTGAGATGCTGTCATCAGTTCCTCAGTCTATGCTGAAGACAACTGGTTGAATCCTATGAGGCCAGCTGATCACTGGCCCCCATCTCCTTCCTGTGGGCCAGCTTCCTTCAAACTGTCTTTTCTTTGAGCACTAGGATCCACCCATAACTGTGGGGAGCCCTGCCCTGACCCACCCCTAAATCTTAGCTGTGGTGCCAGAGGCAGAGAAGGGCCGAGACCAGCTTTGGGAACCCGTGACCCCACTCACATGCATGAATGTGTCACACCCACAATCCTCTAGCTCACCCAGACCAGTCTCAGCTCCTAGAACCTAAGCATTGCACACAGGATAGACAGCACAAAGCGTGTCCCTTTCATAGACTGCCACTATGATGGTGCAAAGACCAAAATGATCCTGGCCATTTCTGGTCCCTAAGGGTGGGCATGAGGACATAACTTTTGAAACAAGGCATACATTCAGAGCCCCCTTGGCATCGGTGAAGAAAGGCTGCTCTGGTTTGGGTCTTTGGTGTCACTTACTTAATATTTTCATTATGACTCATCTCCCATTTGTGACAATTTTCAAGTAACAAGAATGTAGATGAGCTAGAGGTCAACCGCCACTGCTTCAGCCGGGAAGCATCAGTGCCAAATCCAGCTGTGCCACCTCCAGCAGGTCCATGCCTAGTGGGCTGGGTTTTCTGGCCTTTGGCCCAGCTGGCTGCATTAACACAGGAAGCCCTCCTGGCTGCCTGCTCTTGCCCATTTTCCTGTGCTGAATGGGTGAGTTGTTCCCTGGCACCTGTACATCTTCGAGGAATCTGCTGTGTGTAATATCCATTGAGACAGTGAGGAAGGCAAATGAATGTCACCTTCCTATGGTCCTGGGGGTTGTTACAGTGTTAAATGGAAGGGGCACAAAGTGTGGTTGGGCTGAATAAAATGGAAGCTATCCTTTTGCAATGATGTTGACAATAATGGTGGTGATGACAGTGAAAACAATGATGGTAATGAAGACACCTAGAACCCAAGGCTTCCTGAGAGAACCAAGGAGCAATGTCCATTTGCCTAATAAGTGAGACCATGGTGAATGAAGAGCCCTCCATGATTGGGGCCTCAGGAGAGACCTCGATTCAAGGACAAGACTCATTCTTAATAGAATACTATAGGGCAGTGGGGCCCAGGAAAGAGGCAAGAGGCTAGTCACATCTCTGTGGACATGCCTGTCCTGGTAACAGCATATCCTAGCAACTGGTATCTGCATCCCTGAATCTTCCCAGCCATGAGATTGTCATTCTTGTTTCACGGTGAGAAAGGCAGGACACCAGGGGCTTCAAGGCCTCATCAGCATCGTCACCAGAGTTGAACACCAAGTTGATGTTGTAGAAACCCCTACACAAAAGGTCATAGAGGACATACCTCGCTGTAAAGGCCAGAGGTGGACAAGGCCACAAGCCACAGGTTGTTCATATATGTGAATAAAGACCTGCATATGCCATGATACATGTGTGTAGAGGTCAGAGGATGACCCCCAGTGTTAGTCACTTCCCTTCCCCTTGTTTGAGATGACATTTTTTGCTTGCAGCCATGCATGGCAGGGTCTGCCTGTCTGTATGTCTGTCCTGCCCCTCCTCCCATGTTGCTATGATTACTGGGATTACAGACAAAGGTCACCATATCCAAGTTTACATGGGTCCTGCTGCCTTTACTCTTTACTTACTACTGAGCCCATCCCCCCCCCACCCCCAATGTACAAATCATGGTTTTGGCATTCGTTTTCACATTTGTCCATAGTCTGTTTCTTCTCTTGCTCAACAACTTTCTCCTGATTACAAAAGAGACCTGCCAGTCCATCTCAAGCTTGTTTCTCAGAGTAAATGGCAACCTCCACATGACAGATCAAAATCAATGCCTAAAACAAAACACAGCACCACCAAGCCATGTCCCAACAGCACTCACAGGAGGTTTGGAGACACAGGACCCCAAGATGGACGCACATCTGAGACCTGCCCATGTGTGACATGGGAACCACATCTGAGACCTGCACATGTGTGGCATGGGAACCACATCTGAGACCTGCACATGTGTGACATGGGAACCACATCTGAGACCTGCACATGTGTGGCATGGGAACCACATCTGAGACCTGCACATGTGTGACATGGGAACCATATCTGAGACCTGCACATGTGTGACATGGGAACCATATCTGAGACCTGCACATGTGTGGCATGGGAACCACATCTGAGACCTGCACATGTGTGACATGGGAACCGACGTTGGTGTGCTCAGCCCCTGATGTACTGTTATCCCAGCTCTTGATTCCATCCAATTTGTGGCATTTCTCTGGGTACTAGAACAGTTTACTTACCAGGAGAGCCAAAGGGACTGGTCTGCACCTAGGACTGGTGGGAGGTTTCTCTTGCTAATGCTGCGCTGGCACTATTGTTTTTATCCTTAGGACTACTGCTCTCTATGTTGGAAAGGTAATGACTCTCTTTTAAAAGTTCTGTAGCTCGCTGTAAACCTGCAAACCTTCAGAGGACTGGAAAACAAGAGGACCTGGTAGTGGTAATGTTGCTGGAGTGCTCCTTCTCTAAGCACCTGGCAGGTATTAATTCCTTGGGCCCCTTGCACAGAGGTGGATGAGACAGTGATCTAAAAGTCCAGAGTTTCCAGAAGTTGAACAACAGGGCTTGGGGCCCAATAGCCCCTTTTCAGACCCTCCCTCCAATCCTTTAATGTTGCTATCCAAGTCTGGTGGCCTCAGGGTATGGCCCCTGAGAGCTGGGACCAACCCACAGTTATCTAAACACAGATGAATAGTCTTCAAGTAGACCCACAGAACTAACTGGGGAAAGATTCGAACCCAGCATTGACCTGTGAAGCCCCCAGAAACCTCAGTGGGTTCTGCAAGCACACTTGCAGAAGTCAACTTCAAAGTTCATGCCTCATCTGATTCTCCCAATCCATCAAGGTGTGGACAGTTCACACCTTGTCTACACCATCAAGGTGTGGACAGTTCACAAGGGAATGGGTACAACTGTAGCTCTAGACCACCCTGGTTCTTCCTAAACACCACAGTTTTCACTTAACAAATTCTATGCCCAATCAGGAGCAGGACCTGAAACCATAACCATCAGCTCTTGGGCATGCTGAGAGAGGCAGGCACAGTGTTCCTGACAAGGGGACAGATCTCAGGCACATCACAGGAGACCAGAAAGCTGAGAATGTGTGACTCTTCCCTTCACAGAGAGGCAGCCAATGCTTTTTCCACCAAAGACAAGTTCCCTCCCGGGCCAGGCCAGCCAGCCCGTGTTATGCTCAGGGCGGATGAAGCTGCTCTTAGAGCTCATTCAGTCAGGATGCTGACTCATTCTTAACCCGGGAAGCCCTACACACCCCAGTGAGTTGCTCAGAACAGGCTGCTGTCTTCCCTGCAGCCTGCTATGCCACTTTTAAAGCAAGTAACCATTTTTCAGATGTGCTTTAAAAAGTGGCATAGCAGTTACTGTAACTGCTATTGACAGTAAAAGGACGCTCATAAGAATAGTATCTATTCTTGTGACCTCAGGCCACTCCATGCCCATATCACCAACCATCCCCCTCCTGCTGGTTCCCAGCCTGTGACTTTTCTTTCTGCTTGTGAACATGATTTCCCACCTGGAGCATTAAGGGAACGGGAGAGATGTAAAACACAATCTCGAAGCATTTGCACATGTTCGGAGAAAAACCAAAATTCTGCTTCACTGCAGTATTTCATGCCCTGCAGCTGGACCAGGCTGCTTAGCCGGTCAGTGACCAGAGGCTGCCCAGGGGCTCTTCCTTCTGCCTCTCAGGAGCGGAAGCTAGACCAACCACCTCGCGCCCAGTTAGCACAAACTCACCGACCTCCATCTCTGACCTTCACTTCGGCTTCTAGCTAGGAATCCCAAGCAGCTGCCTTCCCAGGCAGGCATCCCTGTGTCTCACGATCTCCTCTGAGACAGCATAATACACAGTCAGTCGGCATCCAAAATGCACAACTAAGAAACTTCCCCCAAGAGAGCCGAAGACACAGCAGAGGTGGGGTGGAGGCAAAGGAAGCCACTTTCCTGACACCACAAACCTTCAAAGTCTCAGAGAGGCAGTGTCCACCCCAGGACCCAGCAGCTGTCACAGCTCTGAGGCGCACACAGACATCACCGACAGAGTACTCACCGGGAGAAGCTGATGAATGGTGGCCCCACCTTCCCAGCCACTGTGCTGTGAAGATCCCAAGACGTGCACGGCTTGCCTGCAGAGTCACTTGGAAACTTAGAAAGCAGCCATTGTAAAGTCACTGAGTCCCCTTCATTCTCAGAGATGTCCACATGATTAAGAAAAAAAAAAAAGACAAGAAAAAGAAAAAGGCGCACACCTCAGCCTTCATTGTCACTGGAACCAGATGACTCATGCTGACTCACAGTCACCACTTCCTCTCCCGACATTCTCTTCATACTTGTGAGCAGGGCTGGTCAGATTCCCAGGGTCTCCACCACCCTTCCGGAAGAGCAACTTCCCAGACCCTGGCAGTGACAGCCTCCGGCTCACAGCCATCGATCACCCTCACCAGGGAAGAGGGTTTTGTTTAGCAGACTCAGGGACAGCAGAGCTCTCACATGTAATTGAGTGTCAAATGCACATGGATGCCGTTTCACACTGGCTTTCTACAGTGGCTCACAGCAGAGGAAAAAAAATCGATTTTTGTCGTTTTGTAAAGGCATCTGGGTTTGCTTGCTCTGATAACACCCATTTCCTCTCATAGTTTCTTCTACACATAGTCCTCATCTAAAATCATGGTCTATTCTGAGCGGCTTGTTAGGAGCACGTGTGTCCTAAGCATGTGAGGACCTCGGTGACTTGGTCATCAAAGAAAGGCTAGACCACAAGAGCCAAAGCACCAAGGAATGCAATCAAAGATGCGGCTCTCTAACTTTTAAAAACTACTAAATGTTTCTGTGCAGGAACCAAGAGCCCGCCTCTGTGTCTGAGTTTTCTTTTGAATGATGCAGAGGGCGGGGCTGTCTTCCGCAGCGTCAAGCATTTCTAAATTACGAGAAGTACCCCAGAGAAAGCGGAATCCACAGAATCCACGTACCACTGAGCAGCCTCTGGTGAGTCTAGGTAGGGTTGCTGCAATTGTTGATGTCTCTATGCTCTGTCCCCCAAAGAAAATATACAGTTCAAAGTAAGGTCTTCCTGAATTAAAAACAAAAAAAGGCATTGGTCTCACTTTTGAACTGTGCATCCTAGCATATCAGAGAATTCTTATAAATAACACAGCATATATAAGAGCAGCTATCTGGGCCAGAGAGTCTCTTACAGATTTACTTATTTTTATTTTATGTGCATTGGTGTTTTCCTGGAGCAGGTATGTTTTTGTGAGGGTGTCAGATCCCCGGGAACTGGAGTTACAGACAGTTGTGAGCTGCCATGTGGGTGCTGGGAATTGAACCTGGATCCTCTGGAAGAACAGCCAGTGTTCTTAACTGGTGAGCAGCCTGTCCAGCACCCCTCCCCCACTCTCTTAAACACATGCAGTTTAAGGAAGTGCATTGCAGGCAGAGAGAGGGGATTTGGTGACAAGGAGGCAGGAATAGAAACCCATCCACAGCCTAAGGCAGTGTTTCTCAACTTGTGGGGTTAGACCCCTCTTGGGGGGGGGTCAAGTGACCCTTTCACAGGGGTTGCCTAAGACCACTGGAAAACACAGATATTTACATTACTATTCATAACAGTAGCAAAATCATGAGTTATGAAATAGTGACAAAAATAATTTTATGGTTGGGATCACCACAAGTGGAACGGTATGAAAGTGTCGCAGCATTAGGAAGGCTGAGAACCACTGTCTAAGGAGATGGACTACTTATCCTTGGAAACAGATTACAAGTAGATTTTCCTATAAAGCCTACAAATACCAGTCCAGCCCTTCCGGGACTTCAGTGTTGTTTGAGCTAACAATCTGCCCAGACTTCTGAGAACTGCTAAATGTGAGGGGAGGGTTATCATTACAAACCACCCTCTCTGGGTAATTCATTATACATCCTTAGAAGTCCAATACACATGGCCCATTGCAAAATTCAGACTATAACAGTTCCTTCCTTTTAGGATTGTGTGAAAGCTAAAAGCTGACTGAAGGACATGCGACAGTAGTGAGCTCCTCTGTTCTCTTACACCAGTGACCAGGTCAAAGCTGATACCTGAGGATATGTGTGGTTTATTGTTTGAAAGTTTTCCTACTGATAGAGTAGGTAAGCCACAGGCCACAATCAAAGATCTAGAATTCAAACAGATGACTTGTCCACTAAATATGCAACATCTTTTAAAATTCAGGGCCCATGATAAAATGTATGACCATAAACTGTTAAACAACGCAGACCATAAAGAAGACAATGACAGTAGATAGAGAGCAAAGGAAATACGGTGCTCAACCATTCACAGATATTCAACAAATGTGCTCCAGATGCCAGGCTCTGGTCTTGGGAAACAGCAAGGAGAAAAAAGGTCCCTGTTCTCAGGAAGCTTATATTCTCAAGGGATGGGGCAGAAAATAAACACACAGGAAGAACTCAAGATTGTTACATGAACTGTGTGAAGAATTGCTAGAAAAGTGAAAAGTCCTTGAGATGAGCCGGCTGGGGAGACAGGGATGGGCTGGTGAAGGAGGGAGGGAAGGGGCTGGGATTCTGTGCCTGGTGCAAGAACACAGGGCGTGGGGCAGGGTGGATTACACAAGAGAGTGGGATGGGCTGGTTGGGATTTTCCAAGGGCAGCACTTGCTGAAAGCGGAGCACCGGAGAGTCTAGTCAGCCCCACTTTGGTCTGGTGAGGCTGATGGAAGCTGAGCCATGCGGTGCCAACGGAAGTGCGGGATGGATTGGGTAGGGCAATGGCGGGCACAGCTTGATCCAGAAGAATTCCCAGACTTTTGGGTTGAGCAGTGAAGTGTTGCCACCTGCTAAGATGGGAGAGTTGAGGGAGGAGACTATCCCAGTGAGGAAGAAGTCACTCAGGGACTCTGTTCTAGCTACTGTTTGGCCATGCCTAAAAGACAACACGTGGCAATGCTTGTGAAGATGTCAGCAGACATGAGATGCAGGGAGATGGCTTGTGCTCAAGACAGATTGGAGAGGTAATGATCTAGAGGTAGAACCAAAGGCCTGGCCTGGATGAGAAAGACGCACAGAGATGTGTAGCGGCATCTTGCTGTGCCAGTGAGCTTGCAGTGGTAGCCACACCCTTTGGGCGTGGCGTCAGGTGTGCAGTTGCGACCCCGTATAAGGTAGAGGAGGGGCTGGCTGGCTGGCTGGCTCGCCTGGGTTGTGGTGAGAGCATCAGAAGGGCAGAGACTGCATCTTCTGGAGCAGGAAGACCGCAATGGCTATTTACCATTATTTACGTAAGTGCTTCCCTAATAAATACCTGTTTATCATTTATCTTGGGCCTGGTGGACTCATTTAAACCCCACCTTCAGATGAAAGGTGAGTGATGAGTGAGGCGGTTTGGACCCTTGGCCAGTGAGCCTGGAGAGAACCAAGAAAACCAGGGCTCAGTGCCAAGGGCTGGAGGTTTCAGGAAGGCAGAAGAGGCCAGCTGGACAGGACTGCTGGGAGTTCCCGTCAGACGGAAGCAGGGCAAGGCAAGCTGGTCAGAGCACAGGAGACCATGGTGACCAGGTACTTGGCAGCCTCTGTGCCCTAGACACAGCCTGGCAGCAAGGGCTGGGAACAGGGTGAACTCAGCCAAAGGAGTCAGAGCCAGATCCAAAGGCAGCACCTCCAACAGGGCACCAGGATACGTGGCACTTTGAGGCCTCAGCTGGAACAGTGAAATCAATTAAATGACTGAGACTGAGAAGGGTGGTGCATGCCTACAACCCCAGTACCAGGAGAGAAAAGCAAGAGGATCGTGAGTTCAAGGCCTTAATCAAATACCTCATCCCTGATTTTAAGTGTCACGACTAGCTGTGTCTGTTTGTAACTAGGGCTCTTACTGGCCTGTAGATGGAGAAGATACAAGGTGTAAACTTAGGTGCTCACTAACAAACAGGCACACTGGTCAGTGTACCACACTTTCCTTCAGTCCTACAGACACCATAGCTATGATCCTTAGGTTATGTTTGGATCAGTCATCTCTGGTTTAGTGAAGACAGGCAGTACTTTTGAAATTTAACAGGAAAATGTAACATAAGACTGTTATTGGGACAGACAGAAGAACATACGAATGGCTTCTTTCTGTTATAAGCAATGTCTGATAATACCCAATGTCACTTCCTATGATGTGATGTGAGTACTAAGTTTCATAGGAGAATATGTCAAAAGAATTTAAAAATATCTAAAACCTGCTTGGTCTGATGCAGGCTGCCATGAGGCAGGATGGAGCCCACTCTCTGATACCATCCCGATTCATGGACAAGTCCTTTTGTTAATAGCAGTAGTAGCTTCTTAATTTCCAATTCTCATCATTCATGATGTCCCTAATGCCTTCCTGAAACACACTGTGAAGGTACGCCTTTCGAAGGAGCTCTGCATCAGCTTTAACTGGACTGAGAAGAAATCACACTTCCTGAGAGTGGCTGGATTTCATCCAATCTAAATTTGCCAAAGTTCATTCATATTAATCCCCAGTGGCTTTTAATTGAAAAGTGTGAGTTTGGGATCTTATCTGAGGCCACTGTGACTCCAGGCCTGAGAAGAGGTTCCCAGGAGACTACTGTGGTCCCTGAGGCTCGCCCTACCCCTCCCCGGCCCAGCCCCCGCCTTCCAGGCATAGAAGCCTCCATTCATTGTTCCTGCTCACCGGCCAGGCTGCTTCCTTCTCTGAAGCGCTTCTTTCACTTTCACAGTGACACAAAGCCACAGCTCTGCCGCGGGACCACTCTCTGGCTTTCACATCTGCACAGCATCTTGAGCCCAGGTGGGGTGGAAATGGAAGGGGTTGTCCTCGAGTCTAACAGACTAGGGTTTGGAACTGGCCTCCCAGCTCAGTGGCCTCGAAGACATGTCTGTCCTGAGGCTTCATGTCCACACTATTAACTGTGGAAAGCCACAGACCTAAGGATGTCCTCATTGCAGCATTTGGTGGGGATTAAATGAGGGGGCTCAGGTAAGGGGGATCCCTTAGTCAGCATTAGCAAAAGCAGGTTGTTATTGTGGATATGTGATACTTTCCTCTAATACCACCCCTTCCTGGGTACCTCCCCTTCCTGTCTCCCTCCTGTACCTGTCACTCCAAACCACCTATTCTTAGATCGGCCTTCCCATGAGGGAGCAAAAGCAATGGCAACTTAGGTTAGAGAGAAGTCTGGCACTGGCTGTGTGGGCTGGAGGGGCAGCCCCAAACTATCACCAGGATATCAGGCACTTGAGTTTCTGATCTGCCATCTGGAACTTGGCTTTCTTTAGATGACTCCACAAACCAAAATGGTTGCTGAAATGACAGCTACCAAATCTGTATGCTCCATCTTGACAGTAGGAGGAGGTGTAGTCTCTCTATTAAGAGAGAAGGAAGAGGAGAGGGAGGACAATGGTGTAACACCACACCCATCCCCACCGCTGTAGAGCTTTGCTGAAACGACTTGGTAAATTTCTCCGTGTACCAAAGCAGGTCTCTCAGTCTCTTCTGGCTGCTAGATGTAGACTTGTCTCTGGGCAGGTCACCAGAAATATATAGTAGGGCTTTTAGGTAAGCAAGACAAAGAGAAGATACAGATATATACATATACTCCTATCCATCAGTATTGGCCGTTGCCTGGAACACAGGGTAGCCATCAGTGCCCTTCCGTGGGATCCGATGTAGGCCACTGAGAAACAGGTGATCCATGTTCCATATGGACCACAGGTGGAGGGACACAGCCCCACCACACAGAACGCAGCACACACAGCAGCAGCAGCCAAGGGAGGCAAAGAGCAAGCCTGGTCACCTCTTGACCCGAGCACACTTACGTGGAGTCTCATTTGTGCTGAGCCACCCATGATGGCCACTGCTTGTTGTAACGAATAGGCTAAGGTTATAACTGATGATGTATCCGGGAGACGTTAGCGACTCTTTCCTGCTCTCCGTAGCCTCTTCATCCATGCTGCCTCCTGGGAGGGTCCCAGAAGCACCATCCTTGCGGGAACACGCCCCTCCCCCTCCCCTCCCCTTCCCTCCCCTCCCCCTCCCCTCTCCTCCTCTCCCCTCCCCACCAATGCCTCTTCTATTCTCTCTCTCCAAGAAAGCCCGGTTTAGTCTTAAAGCCCTGAATTCCCTCAACCCTTATGCTGTCGTTTGATGCTTGGGGTCTGACAGAGCTCTCCCTTTCGCTGCAGTTCTCCACCGCCCCTCCCACCACACACCAGACAGGAGGACCCAGAGGGAAAATCCCGTCCCACCCACACCAACTCCCACAGGTGACCTTTTGTTTGTATCTGGATGACTGAATGAAAGCAGTGGAGTGAGCTTTGGTTTCTGTGCAAACTAAATCCAGACAGGACTCCCAGCAGAGCTGCAGGTGTGGGGAACCCAGGGCTGCCTCCACCACCTCTGGGTGAAAGCTCTCCCGTCCCCCAGGGACCACTCACAGTGGCTGGCACACAGCAGCGCCACAGTCTGTGCCATTCGCTCGAGGAGGGTGGTTATCTGTGCATTCTCAGCTCTGAGGCATTCCTTGCTTTCATTCTGTGACACCACTTTTGTCACAGGGGGTGACATACTGAACTGACAGCTTGTTTCTTTTCCAGGTGGGGCAAACGTTCAGCTGCTTTGCTGGGAGTGTGGTGCAGAGGTCAGTGCAATCCTTACCATCAGGGAAGGGATAGAGCGCCGGAGGTCAGGGCCTTGCCAAAAGCCAACCACATTTAGAGGCGAGACTAGGCTGGCCTCAGAGCAGCGGGAGCCCCACGTAACATGCAAAGAGATGACGGGAAGGCTGGGGAGAAGGCTTAGCGGCTAAAGGCTCTTGCTGCTAACCGTGGTGAGTTCCATCCCAGGACCCACAGGGTGGAAGGAGAGAACAGACTCCTGAAAGTTGTCCTCTGACCTCCACATGACCACGCATGCACCACACTACTGCCGCCTCTGCAGCCGCCACCACCACCACACAACCACACGACCACCACCATACACACATACACATTTTTAAAGATGCAGGGAGAGACCGGATTCCCTTCTTGTTCTGTAAAAGAAATTAAGAATATGAGGTAAGCAGGGCAGGAGGGGGTGGAGATAGGCACCCATTGTTAGAGTATGTGGCGGTTGGAATAATGCCCCCATAGGCTCGTAGATTTGAATGCTTGGTCACGAGAGAATGGCACTTCTTGAAAGGACTGGGAGGTGGGGTTTTGTCGGAGGAAGTGTGTCTCAGGGCTTTGAGGTTTCAAAACCCAAGTCAGGCCCAGCGTTTCTCTCCTCTTCCTGCTGCCTGGGGATCTGGATGTAGATCCTCAGCTGCTTCTCTAGGGCCATGTCTGCCTGTAGGTAGCCATGATAATGGACTACATCTCTGAAACTGCAAGTAAGCTCCAATGAAATGTTCTCTTTTATGAGAGTTACTGGGGTCATGGTGTCTCTTCACGGCAATAGAACACTAAAACAGAAGCAAGACTGAAATTCAGCTCCTTGGGCTAAGAGCTGCATGTAACAAAAGCAGCACGTGTGAAAGTCACACAGTGTGGGACTTAATAACCTTCGTGAGGGCCACGAAGCTGGGGTCTTGGGCCTTTGGCATCCCCTACCTGCCCTGTCTCTGTATTCCACTCCATTTTCAGGAGTGTCTTTCTGTCTTTTAAAAACTGTCTCTAAGTCTGTCACTATCCATGTGTTCAGATCCTGGAAACCTTAGCAGGTGCCCTGTGAACTCAGATCCACATCAATAATATAAGATGTCAGAACAGAGGAAACAATAGGCCTGGTGAATAAGCCTACTATCCCACCCATATTAGACTGAGGTACAGGGATCGATTTCAGGGTCTGCCTGAGCTACAGAGTGAGTTCAAGGCCAATCCTAGCACCTTTAAGAGACCTTGTTGCTAAAATATACAAAAAGGCTATGATGTAACTCCACAGTAGGATGCCTGCCTATCTTGCACAAGGCTATGGGTTCAAGTGCTGGCAGCTCCCAAGGAGAAAGAAAAGAAGGAATAGAGGAAGTCTTGGCTTATGTCATATGAAAGCCAGGTGGGATTGTGGCCATGTAGAGCTGACTGGAAACACACAGCTAAGGAATTGGCTTCATTCTGTGAGAAATGAATTGTCAAAAAGACAGTGAACTGAAACACGTCATCCACACAATAAAATATTATCCAGCCACAAACAAGAAATGATGTTTCCATATTTGTCTCAGTTTGGAAGAATCTGCAAGAACCTCGTGATAGGTGACCCATCACAACCCATCTTTGGATTTCTTTTACACAAAGGGTTAAACTATTTGTAATTGCAGTTTCCATAAATGGTAAAGAACACTGAAGGCAGCTGATTCTGTGGACTCTGTCCTAGTTAACACTGACTCTCAGTCACATGGTCCAGAGTTATCTGAGAGGGAAGCCTTGATTGAGAAATTGCCTACATCAGATTGATCTATGGGCATGTCTATGGGAGACTGTCCACTGTGGGCAACTCAATCCCTAGGCAGGTGGTCCTAGGATACATAAGAAAGCTAACTAAGCACGAGCCTATAAGCAAACCAGAGTGCAAGCCTGTAAGCACTGTTTCAGGTTTGAGTTCTTACTCTGACTTCCTTCAATCATAGACTGTGGCCTACAAGTGTAAGCCAAATAAATCCATTCTTCCTCTAAGTCCCATCAGTTTTTAATGTTTGGTCAGGTCCTCATTCCCTACAGAATTGGACAGGGGAATGCCATATCTAGCAAAAGCAACCCCATATTTTCTTACCAAAAAAATAGCAAAAACCTTGCCAAGTTCAGGCAAGATTATCATCTCTGAGCCCATAAGACATCTCCTTGGCCACAGGAGTTTCTAAAATGATGAAACACTTAAGGAAGATCCCACCTGTCCCTATGTCCCTTTGTGCAGTTGTGTCTGAAATACAAAGCATATGCTTATTCAAGATTTTTCTTAGTGTATGCAAAGGAAGAAATTAATCTCTAGTGTATTTTATTGGGGCATGTGCCAGGACATGCAGTGGAGCTCAGAGGATGACCTTAAAAAGTCAGTCTCTCTCCCCATCACGTGGGACCCAGATCATCGGGCTCAATGGCATGAGGCTTTACCCACTGAACCTTCATGCCCGCCTCTTATCTTTTCTTCCTCTCCCTCCTCCTCTTCTGTTTACATAGATGGGGATTCTCCTTGAATAAAACACCTGTACCCGGTTATTTCATTCCGTTATGTATAACACTAAACTTGTTATGTTTAAGCATGATTGTTGAGCCCCTTAGTGCCCAGTGCCTAAACTGTTTTCACAGATGTTTCAGATGGCCATCTCAGAAGGACCTTAAAAACATTCCTCTCTTTGTCCAATGAGAATGAACCAGAACTACAGCAGTCACAGAAAGGCTTCATTCTGTTGCCTGATGGCTTCATGGTCCATCTCATAGCTGGCCAAGTAGCCCTGCTAATTGAGAAGTTCCTTCATGCAGAAACACTCTGGCTTTAGCCCACAGAGTCAGGCACCCTGCCTAAGCAGTCTCAGATCCCCAAAAGAAGAGCAAAACTATGTAGTGGGAACACCCGGTTTGGCTTTCAGAAGGCAAAACATCCTAACTCAGATACAGTCAAGACTGCCCCACAGCCTCTTCCCTGCTCTAACATACCTGAGGCTGTGAGGAGTCTAAGGCAGGGACCAGGATGGAGTCAGAGCAGACTCTGGGCAGACTCTCACAGCATCATTTGACTTCTCTGAAAACAGCATCTCTTCTGCAGAGACCCAGTGACACGAAGTTAACTGCCGTGTCCCTGACACTCAGAACCTGCTTGGCACATACTGTGCACTCAGAATAATTTAATGACTGTGTTTACAAGCTCTCTCAATGTCAGCATTCAGAAATCCATCAAAGTCACCAGCATTTTCTCATGAAGGAGCAAATGCCTCCAGGCTCATACAGTCTTCAACTGACAATGGGGCGGAGTACCAGTAAAAGCATCGTACATGGAAGATATGGGAAATTGAGCATGCCCTTAGTGCACGCAACAGCACCCCAATCATCTGCATCAGCTCAGCAACACAGCACACTACACCGGGGCGATTGCTTCCCCCTGTAAGCACACAGCCAGAGCTTCAACTACAGGAAATACCACCTCACTAGCCCAGGGGCGAGGTCAAAATTCCAACTAAGAAGTATGACTTCCATTGAATGTGTGTCTTTTTCTTGTCATAATAAAATAGAATGGTCCTCTGTGGAACTATCCTACATGAGGTCAAGGGTCATCTATATGTTTTCCTACTGGCCTGTGCTCCTGGAGTAAAGTCACTTTCTCAGCTGGCTGTTCTCTCTCCTGCCTTGATCCCGAGGTAAGGTGGGCAAAGCTTCAGAAAAGGGTAAAGGGGCATGTGGGAGTAGACCCTGCACAGAGGGACAGAGGTACAAGTGAG